GCGAATCGGCTTCGCATGAAGTTTCGATACTGCTTCACGACAGCGCCAAGGCCTCATGACTTAGCTCTTCCATGGCCCATTCTCCGAGAGAGGGGGCCGGCGGCAGGGGGCGAAGCCCTTACGGATATATACATATACATATATATATATACTAGAACCACGCGCGCGCTTCGCGCGCGCTTAGGTTCTGTCGAGTCACAGACCCAGGAACCGTTGTGAGAAGAAATTGGTGACGCGAAGCGTCGTGGGGGCGTCCTTGGACGTCTGGGGTCTCCTGGGGCCTCTTGAGGGGCCTCCTGGGGGCCTCCTGGCGGCCTCTTGGGGCGGAAGGCTCGAGCTTGCGGTTCGTGGTCCCCCTCTGGGCCCCCTCTTGGGCCCGTCTTGGGGCCCTCTTGGGCCATCTTGGGCGCCTCTTGGGCCGTCTTGGGGCCCTCTTGGGCTGTCCTTGGGACTCCTTTGGGCCTCTTGGGGGTCTCCTGCGGCCTCTTGAGGGGCCTCCTGATGGCCTCCTGGCGGCCTCTTGGGGCGGAAGGCTCGAGCTTGCGGTTCGTGGTCCCCCTCTGGGCCCCCTCTTGGGCCCGTCTTGGGGCCCTCTTGGGCCATCTTGGGCGCCTCTTGGGCCGTCTTGGGGCCCTCTTGGGCTGTCCTGGGGCCCTCTTGGAAGCTTCTTGGGCCGTCTTGGGGCGGTCTTGGGCGCCTCTTGGGCCGTCCTGTAACGTCGGAAAGCCCAAAAGACAACTTTGTTGAAAATGTACGTTTTACGAAGGGAATGGGCCAATTTTTGCGTCTAGGGGCCCTCTTGGGACGCATGTTGGAGGCTTCTTGGGGCCTCTTGGGGGCGTCCTTGGACGTCTGGGGTCTCCTGGGGCCTCTTGAGGGGCCTCCTGGGGGCCTCCTGGCGGCCTCTTGGGGCGGAAGGCTCGAGCTTGCGGTTCGTGGTCCCCCTCTGGGCCCCCTCTTGGGCCCGTCTTGGGGCCCTCTTGGGCCATCTTGGGCGCCTCTTGGGCCGTCTTGGGGCCCTCTTGGGCTGTCCTGGGGCCCTCTGGGAAGCTTCTTGGGCCGTCTTGGGGCGGTCTTGGGCGCCTCTTGGGCCGTCCTGTAACGTCGGAAAGCCCAAAAGGCGACTTTGTTAAAAATGTACGTTTTACGAAGGGAATGGGCCAATTCTTGCGTCTAGGGGCCCTCTTGGGACGCATGTTGGAGGCTTCTTGGGGCCTCTTGGGGGCGTCCTTGGACGTCTGGGGTCTCCTGGGGCCTCTTGAGGGGCCTCCTGATGGCCTCCTGGCGGCCTCTTGGGGCGGAAGGCTCGAGCTTGCGGTTCGTGGTCCCCCTCTGGGCCCCCTCTTGGGCCCGTCTTGGGGCCCTCTTGGGCCATCTTGGGCGCCTCTTGGGCCGTCTTGGGGCCCTCTTGGGCTGTCCTGGGGCCCTCTGGAAGCTTCTTGGGCCGTCTTGGGGCGGTCTTGGGCGCCTCTTGGGCCGTCCTGTAACGTCGGAAAGCCCAAAAGACAACTTTGTTGAAAATGTACGTTTTACGAAGGGAATGGGCCAATTTTTGCGTCTAGGGGCCCTCTTGGGACGCATGTTGGAGGCTTCTTGGGGCCTCTTGGGGGCGTCCTTGGACGTCTGGAGGCCATCTTCAGCATCTCGGAGCCCTCTTGGAGGCCTCTTGGAAGTTTCTTGGGCCGTCTTGGGCGCTTCTTGGGCCGTCTTGTCTGACTGGGGAGGCCTCCGGCAAGCCCCGACGAGCCTCCGGGCCCCCCGGGGTGCACATTTGTGGTCGAGGTCCCGGCCCCGGGCCCCCGGACCCGGTGCGCCGTTATATGTATACATATATATATATATATATATATATATATATATATATACATAAGTGAGAATATACACATATATATATATATATACATATACATATATGTGTATATATAGTATGTGCACATAAAACAAAAAGCAACAATTAAACATAAAAAAAACAACGTATGCTACTGGAGTTCCCCACATAAGGCTGAGGAGGGGCCTCCGCTGGACGGGTGGACGGGGCACGAAACCTAGGAGGCTGCACGGTATCTGAACAGCCTCGTCACTCAGGAGAGGCATCTTTGGAGACACGGGAGGGCACGAAACCTGCGCAATGTAACGAGAGAAGATCTACTGCACGCAACCTGATAAATCACATGGTATCCGAATGTTGTCCTCGCTCAGGCAGGGCCTCCCTGGACGGGTGGGAGGGGCACGTAACCTGATAAATCACATGGTATCCGAATACTGTCCTCGCTCAGGCGGGGCCTCCCTGGACGGGTGGGAGGGGCACGTAAACCTGATAAATCACATGGTATCCGGTATCCGAAAAACTGTCCTCGCTCAGGCGGGGCCTCCCTGGACGGGTGGGAGGGGCACGTAAACCTGATAAATCACATGGTATCCGAAGACTGTCCTCGCTCAGGCGGGGCCTCCCTGGACGGGTGGGAGGGGCACGTAATCTGAAAAATCGCATGGTATCCGAAGACTGTCCTCGCTCAGGCGGGCCTCCCTGAACGGGTGGGAGGGGCACGTAACCTGATAAATCACATGGTATCCGAATTCTAGACGCTCCGCGTATCCCCACCAGCCCGTCCAGAAACGACGCCCAGGCGAGTAGAGGGTCGTCCTGAGGGGCTTTTCGGCGTCTTGGGTGCCTCGGGGGGGCCTCTGTGGGCCGTTCGGGATCCTCGTTGGGGCCTCCTGGGGGCCTCTTGGGGCCTCTTGGAGCCATCTTGGGGCATTTGGGGGCCTCCTGTGTGCTTATTGGGGCCTCCTGGGCGCTTCTTGGGTGCCTCTGGGGGGTTTCTTGGGGCCTCTTGGAGGTCTCTTGGGGGCCTCCTGGGGGCCTCTTGGGGGGCCTCGGAGCCATCTTGGAGGAGATCGATCAACGAAGGGGGGTTCCCTAATTACAGCCCCCTCCTCAGGGGCCACGATCCTCGTGAGGGGTGTTGAATTTTAGCCCTCCCAGGGGTCGATCTTGGGCGCTCCAACGCGCCGCGGAACCCCCTGTCCAGGTCAGTGGGGAGGGGGTAGGGGGAGGGGTAAACCCCTCCCCGAAGGGGAAGAAGGAGGGGTGGAAGAGGAAACGCTCTAAACCACCGACGCCCAGAGGGCTGGTGGGATTCTGTCCTCGCTCAGGCGGGGCCTCCCTGAACGGGTGGGAGGGGCACGTAACCTGATAAATCACATGGTAGCCGAAAAACTGTCCTCGCTCAGGCGGGGCCTCCCTGGACGGGTGGGAGTGGCACGTAACCTGATACATCACACGGTATCCGAATACTGTCCTCGCTCAGGCGGGGCCTCCCTGGACGGGTGGGAGGGGCACGTAACCTGATAAATCACATGGTATCCAAAGACTGTCCTCGCTCAAGCGGGGCCTCTCTGGACGGGTGGGAGGGGCACGTAATCTGATACATCACATGGTATCCGACTACTGTCCTCGCTCAGGCGGGGCCTCCCTGGACGGGTGGGAGGGGCCGCGTAACCTGATAAATACACATGGTATCCGAATACTGTCCTCGCTCAGGCGGGGCCTCCCTGGACGGGTGGGAGGGGCACGTAACCTGATAAATCACATGGTATCCGGTATCCGAAAAACTGTCCTCGCTCAGGCGGGGCCTCCCTGGACGGGTGGGAGGGGCACGGAACCTGATAAATCACATGGTATCCGAATACTGTCCTCGCTCAGGCGGGGCCTCCCTGGACGGGTGGGAGGGGCACGTAACCTGATAAATCACATGGTATCCGAAGACTGTCCTCGCTCAAGCGGGGCCTCCCTGGACGGGTGGGAGGGGCACGTAACCTGATACATCACATGGTAGCCGAATACTGTGTCCTCTCTCAGGCGGGGCCTCCCTGGAGGGGTGGGAGGGGCGCGTAGCCTGATAAATCACATGGTATCCGAAGACTGTCCTCGCTCAGGCGGGGCCTCCCTGGACGGGTGCGAGGGGCGCGTAACCTGATAAATCACATGGTATCCGAAAACTGTCCTCGCTCAGGCGGGGCCTCCCTGGACGGGTGGGAGGGGCACGAAACCTGATAAATCATAGGTATCCGAAAAACTGTCCTCGCTCAGGCGGGGCCTCCCTGGACGAGAGGGAGGGGCATGTAACCTGATAAATCACATGGTATCCGAAGACTGTCCTCGCTCAGGCGGGGCCTCCCTGGACGGGTGGGAGGGGCACGTAACCTGATAAATCACATGGTATCCGAAGACTGTCCTCGCTCAGGCGGGGCCTCCCTGGACGGGTGGGAGGGGCACGTAACCTGATAAATCACATGGTATCCGAAAAACTGTCCTCGCCCAGGCGGGGCCTCCCTGGATGGGTGGGAGGGGCACGTAACCTGATAAATCACATGGTATCCGAATACTGTCCTCGCTCTGGCGGGGCCTCCCTGGACGGGTGGGAGGGGCACGTAACCTGATAAATCACATGGTGTCCGAATACTGTCCTTGCTCAGGCGGGGCCTCCCTGAACGGGTGGGAGGGGCGCGTAACCTGATAAATCACATAATATCCGAAAACTGTCCTCGCTCAGGCAGGGTCTCCCTGGACGGGTGGGAAGGGCGCGTAACCTGATAAATCATATGGTATCCGAAGACTGTCCTCGCTCAGGCGGGGCCTCCCTGAACGGGTGGGAGGGGCGAGTAATCTGATAAATCACATGGTATCCGAAGACTGTCCTCGCTCAGGCGAGGCCTCCCTGGACGGGCGGGAGGGGTACGAAATCATATGATGTGGTGTTGTATGCTATCTTATGGTATTGTATGGTACGGTGTGTTATTGTATGGTACGGTGTAGTATGACATGTTACGGTATGGTATGTATGGCTTCGCGATGACATGTGGAACAGGAAGCGGGAGAAGGAGAAGGAGAAGGAGAAGGAGAAGCAGAGGGTGCTGCTGGAAAACAGGAACCCCCACTCAGGCGGTGGGGCAGGAGAACGACACGGGGGGGGGAGGCGCCGGCCCCGGCGCCCCACCTCCTGACGACGAGCCCCAGCGCCGTCAGGGACTGGTTGACGGCGCGGGCCTCCTCCGCGGTTGGGGGTCTCCGTTCCACTGCGATCTCGCCCCCAACCTCCGATGTAGATTCACCAGGGAGAATCCATGTAAACAAAAGAAAAAAAAAAAAAACAGACGGGGGGAGGAGCAGGCCCTGGCGCCCCGCAGCGTGGCCCCCCCTGCTGGGCGGCACCCCGCTCGAGGCGCCTCCGACCTCCAGCTCGGGGACCCCGGGATCCGCCGCTGCTTGAACACTGCAGACATCGCAGAAAACCGCGACCGAAGCCCTGGACCCCAGGTTTGCGTCTTCGGGGAAGGCTTCGAACACTTTTTTTTTCTCTGAAGCAAAAAAAACGCTTCGAACACTTATCAGAAGGCCAGAGGAGTTCCGAGCCTCCTGAGAGACCTGAGATCCGCCGCTGCTACAAAAGCTGCAACATCGGAAAAGATCACGACTGAAGCCCCAGACCCCATCTCCCGAACTGGAGCGAGAACGCCTAGTTGCGAAAGATTTGCAGCGCCAGGATCTCAGGGAGGAGGAGGAAAAGGAGGAGGAGGAGGAGGAGGAGGAGGAGGAGGAGGAGGGGAGGAGGAGGAGGAGGGAGAAGGGAGAAGAAGGAGCAGGAGGAGGAGGAGGAGGAGGAGGAGCTAGGAGGAGGAGGAGGAGGAAGAGGAGGAGGAGGAGGGAGGAGGAGGAGGAAGAGCGAGAACCCTCGTTGTGGAAAATCTGCAGCGCCAGGATCTCAGGGAACCCCGTCGCTGGAGGCGACCGCGCCCCGCTCGAGACACCTCCGACGCAGCTCGGGGAGTCCTCGCGGGACCCCCCCCGCGAGGCCCGAGCTTCACGGGGCCGGGACCCCCCCCAGGGGCCGCTCGGAGCCCCCCCGGGCCTATGGGTAGACCGACCTGCGGCGCGACGTCCATGCAGGAGCGTCCTCCTCCTCCTCCTCCTCCTCCTCCTCCTCGACCCTCCCTCCTCCTCCTCGTCCTCTCCTCCTCCGACCGTGCAGCAGACACCCATCCTCCGCCTGCACTCCTACAATAGACATACAATCCACATAATCATCAGCACTCCACCTCCTCAGGCGACTCAATCAGATCTCATCCTCATCGTCAATGATCATCATACGAAGAATAAGCATCACTTCGCTCCTCCTCCTCCTCGCCTCCTCATAATCCTCCCTCCTCCTCCTAGGCACATGTGGTTCCTCCTCAATACCCCCTCGTCCTCCTGCTCCTCCTCCTCCTCCTCCTCCTCCTCCTCCTCCTCCTCCTCCTCCTCTTGTTCCTCCTCCTCCTCCTCCTCTTCTTCTTCTTCCTCCTCCTCCTCCCTGAGATCCTGGCGCTACAAGTCTTTCACAAACGGGCGTTCTCGCTGCAGTTCGGCCCCGGGGCACCCTCACAGATCGACCTGGCTCGAAAAATGATGCAGAGAGATGGGGTCCGGGGCTCCGGTCTTGATGTTCTCCGATGGTGCATGTTTTGGAAACGGCGTCGCTACTCGCTACTCCCTACACAGTGCTCACTACTCACTACTCATTACTCGCTACTCCATACGCCCTACTCGCTACCCAATACGCACTATTCACTACCCACTACTCACTACTCACTACGCTCCTACTACTCACTTGTCACTACTTCCTACTCCCTACTCACTATTCCCAACTCACTACTCATTACTCACTACCCAGTACTCAATATTCACTACTCACTAAACACTACTCGCTACCCACAACTCACTACTCACTAAGCACTACCCACTACCCACTAACCACTATCCACTCTTCCTACAGAGAACTAACAATTCACTACTCGCTACGCTCTGGCCAGAATCCACTACTCAGTATCCGCTACTCGCCACCCAACAGGACATATTCACTACCCACTACGCAGTACTCGCTACTCACTACTCACTACTCCCAACTCCCTACTCACTAGTCACTTGTCGCAAGTGCTACTCGCTAGTCACTACTCACGGCTCACTACTCACTAATGTCTACTCGCTACACCCTACTTACTACCGACTACCCACTTCTCTGTTCTCACTACTATCCCGACTCACTACTGGCCACTAACTACTTACTACTCACCATTCGCTACTCCCCACTCGCTACGCACTACTCCCTACTCCGTACTCATTACTGACTCCTGACTTCTCCCTCCTTTCTACTCACTACCCACAACGCCCTACTCGCTACTCACTACTCACTATTCGCTACTCCAACTCGCCACTTCCTATTCGCTACTCGCTACTCACCACTCACTACTCCCTACTTTCTAGTCACTGCGCACTACGCACGAATCACAACCCACTCCTCGCTATTCGCTACTGTCTGCTCCCTCATCCTCATTTCCACTACACACTACTCACTCCTCACTACTCAGTACTCACCATTGCTTACTCACTACTTCCTTACCACTACTCACTACTCACTGCACTACTCACTAATCTCTACGCGCCACTGACTACTACCCATTACCCACTACTCACTACTCACCACTCACGACCCACTGCGCAATACTCACTATCAAATACCCACTGCTCGAGAGGCCTCCTCCCCAGCTCCCTGTTCGGCGCAAAGAGGGGGGGGGGGTCGAACCCCGAAATGGAACGAATTACAACCGCTTTGTCCCAATTCCAACCGTTCGGAGCGAATTGCAACCAGAAATGAAACCAATTCCAACCAGAAATGAAACCAATTACAACCATGGATGGGATCTTCGGAATTCCTCCGGATTCCTTCGGATTCTTCGGAATTCCTCCGGATTCCTTCGGGTTCTTCTGAATTCCTCAGGATGCCTTCGGATTCTTCAGATTTCCTTGGGGCTCCTTCGGACTCTTCGGAATTCCTCAGGATTCCCTCGGATTCTTCGGAATTCCTCAGCTGCCCGCGGGGACAACCGCTCGCCGCCGTGGCGAAACAAACCCGCTCTCGGATTGCATTTTTGTGCGCCGCCACCGCCAGCTTTATTCAGAGATGCCTCTCGGCACGCTCCGCCCCCTCGTGGCTGGTTGGCAGTTGGTTGGTGGCCTAGTTGGCTGGCTGGCTGGTTCTTTGGCTGGTTGGCTGCTTGGTTGGCTCGCTGGCTGGTTGGCTGGTTGGTTGCCTGCCTTGCTGGTTGGTTGGTTGGTTGGCCTACAGGCCTGCGCAGTCTCACATGCCGAGGGGCCCGCCCGCGCGCGGATTGCATTTTTTGCATGCCATTACTACCACTACTGCTGCGACTACGGCCACGTCCACGACTACGACTACGACTACAACTACGGGTACTACTACTACTACTACTACTACTACTACTACTACTACTACTACTACTACTACGACTACTACTACGACTACTACTACGACTACTACTACGACTACTACTCTATACTACTACTAACTCTACTACTCATACTACTACTACTGCTACTACGACTACTACTACTACTACTACTACTGCTACTACTACTACTGCTACTACTGCTACTACTATTACTACCAGTACTACTTCTACTACTACTACCCTCCAATATTACTACTACTACTACTACTACCACTACTACTACTACTACTACTACTACTACTACTACTACTACTACTACGACGGCTACTACTACTACTACTACTACTACTACTACTACTACTACTTCAACTACGACTACAACTACTACGACTACTGCTACTACCACTACTCCTACTACGACTAACATCAAATCTACTACTACTACTACTGCTACTACTACTACTACTACTACTACTACTAGAAAAGCACTACTAACTACGACTAAACTACTACTACTACTACTACTACTACTACTACTACTACTGCTGACTCGTATTACTACTGCTACTACTACCACTACTACTACTACTTCTACTACTTCTACTACTACTTCTACTACTACTACTACTACTACTACTACTACTACTACAACAATGACTACTACTACTACTACTACTACTACTACTACTACTACTACTACTACTACTACTACTACTACTACTACTACTACTACTACTACTACATACTACCTACTACTACTACTACTACTACTACTACTACTACTACTACTACTACTACTACTACTACTACTACTACTACTACTACTGGTACTACTCCTACTACTACTACTACTACTACTACTGCTACTACTACTACTACTACGACTACTACTACGACTCCTACTACGACTGCTACTACTACTACTAATACTAATACTACTACTACTACTAAGACTACTCGACTACGACCTACTACCTACTAACCTCTAACTGCTAACTGCTCGGACTACTATCTACTACTGACTGCTACTCTACACTCCTACTAGACTACTGCCACCATTTTACGACGACGTACTCACTACAACTGACGCGTACTGCGACTACGACCACCTCTGGCGACGACGACTCCTACTATGACTACTTACTACTACCTACTACTACTACTACTACTACTCTTCTACTACTACTACTACTACTACTACTACTACTACTACTACTACTACTACTACTACTACTACTACCAATACTACTACGACTACTACTACTACTATTATCTGAGACTACGAGTACGACTACGACGACTACTACTACTACTACTACTAGTACTACGACTACTACCACTATTACTACTACTACTCCTACAACTACTACTACTACTACTACTACTACTACTACTACTACTGCTACTATGACTATGGCTTTTACTACTACTACTATTCCGACTACTACTACTACTACTACTACTACCACTACTGCTACTACTACTACTACTACTACCACTACTACTACTACTACTACTACTATTACTACTACTACTACTACTACTACTACTACTACTACTACTACTACTACTACTACTACTACTACCATTCACGACTACGATTACTACAGCTACGATTACGACTACGACTACATCTGCTACGACTACTACTACCACCACTACGACTACTATTACTACTACTACTACTACCACTGCTACGACTGCTTCTACTACTACTACTGCTACTACTATTGGTACTTCTATCGCTACTACTACTACGAGTAT